TGAATTATAGTACTGTCCAGTACAGAAATAGAAGAGAATATAAAAGGATATAGAAACAAGCTTTTGGGAGAAAAAAGGAACCCAAGCGGTTTCAGGATGAGTTAAGTCTTTTATAAAGGTTTTTTATTAATGATTGCCACAATGGGTGATAAGGATCAGTTCTGTTTGTTCCAGTATCTAATTCCTCCTTCAGGCCCCTGATGGAATCATCTTCACAGCAACTGACAGATCTATAATTTTGATAAACAGAGTAGTGAATGCCAGTAAAAATTTCTATATATGAAATAGAGAACCCTTGGTGGTACAAGTTAAAGCCTGAAGACTCTCATACTCACAGTTTAAAACTTCCTGAGGGACCCCAGATGTGATTCTGTAATACATACAAGGTGCAATGATACTGCACAGAGGTTTTGTTCTTGTTTGCTGTGGATTTGTGGTAATGCATTGAGCCAATGAAGATCCAAAGCTCTCAGTTATCGGAAAGACAAAGGACTGTACAACAGCCCTTGTAATTTTGTTTCTTCATAACTTTTAGATGTTTTGATCAAGCCAGATAGTGGATGATGTTATACTAAACAAGACACTGCAGAGTGTCTGCTTAGGTCCATCTCCTCCCTTACTTAGACAAATTTAGACCCTTTCCTTTTCATTTAGAGGGAACAATATGCAGTTACACACTTTTAAACACAGCCTTCGTGTCTTTAATTTAGATCTTACTTTCATGAAGCGAAGTCCTGTAATTCATTTCATAGCTAAAGCTGAGCTACTTGGGTTTTAGGTGAATCTGAAGACTAATAAATTGGCAGATTAGCTGTAACCCACAGAGGGTTATTTCCTGTTTCTGCCAGATGATCCGTTTGTAAAAGTTCATCTAGACCTGTCTTCAGTGATTTTTTTAAACAACGAAATCACAACCCTGACAGTAAGAGTTTATTAAGCAGTCTTCTGATCAATGCCACTACCCCCCATGGAAAGACAGATATGCGATCAATATAATGTGCACATCCCCTCCTCACATGCTGAATATAACTCTGGCTGCCATGTCACTTGATAGAAATAAACTATTTGTATTCATGAGCATGGTAACACTCCTTTTGTAAAGTCTTAACGGAATAAGGCAGCTGCTTATTCCGAGGGGATACTCCGCTGTGGAATAAATCTGGGTTATTCCATGGGGGAGGGAGAACCACAGCAGAATGTATACTGTGAGCAAGTGTGCAGGAGAGCATCAATACAGGAGCAGGCTGCAGAAGTTCTACCTGACAAGTAAGAGTATCTCAGCCCTAAATAAAAACTGTTGAGTACAGAGGTCTTTGCTGCTAGCTCATTTTTACATCCTTCTAATTTTTCTCTGTTTTAAAGTCTTCTACAAAGACACTGGTCAGAGAGAAGGAGAAAATAGAAAGGACTTGAGGAAAAGTGAGAAGTCCAAGGGCCTGTTCAGGAAACACTAATGTCGTTTCTGGTACTTTGGAAATCAGATATCTTTTCGCTTTCTAGCACAAGATTCTAGAGATAGTTTTATATCCTGCGGGCAGCCATGTCACCAGAGATCTGGTAGAGTCCCCAAACTGGGAACATGCATCAAACAGGTTGAGAGGTGGAGATCACCATAACCTCTCTTGCCTTTTCTCAGGAATGAAAAAAGTTTACTGGAGGTAGCTCTGATTTGGAAGGTAGCCTTTGTGGCTATTTCTAGCAAAGGAGCAAATGCTACCACCTTCTTTATCTACAGGTTGGCACAACAGGGATGACCTTTCCTGATTTTCCTTCTCACAGATCTCTTGTGAGTTTTTCCACAGAGAGGCATTATCACAGAAATGGGTCTTGGCTGAAATCCCAAAATGTCAACTAGGTACAACTGCCTGCAGTCATAATGCAATTGCCCAGATTGAGGTTCTTAGCTTCAAACAAGAGCTTGGATTCTGAATTAGAGCACTTTGTAAAAATTCTTTTTGGAATCAAAATGAGAACTAAACAGATATTAAGTGATTGGTTGAGGAGTCCTGACTGAGGCTCTGTTCCGCAGAAGAGTTAAAACAACATAAACTGTAGTAGGCTCTTGGACTTGTTTTTTAAGACAGACCATGTGGAAATTTTAAAGATGACTATTTTAAAAAAACAGATCAGTTTTGCAGATCATAAGCATAGGGAAAAAAACACAATGAGGGCTAGTAAGTAATTCTCCTTTCTTTTCTTTCCAGTATCAAAATTCAAGATTCCCTCTCTGAACATTAGATCTATGCAATAAGTGTAAATCCATGTCCTGCCATATTACAGACATCCCAAAGACCTACATATTGATCATGTTTCCTTAAAGTGTGATTGCAGCACAAGGAAAGACAAGGTTTCATGAACATTGCACAAAGCCTTATGAGAATTTTTCATGCTGCATCTTTAATTCAAAGAGGAAATATCAAAGAAACTACTAAAGATGTTGATCCTCTTTCTTTTTTCAAGAAGTATGACCTCAGGTAGATATCTATAGGTGTAGCATAATGACAAGGTATGAAGAAAATAATATGATTATAACATCAGTGACCATAATAGAAAAAGCTAATGAACCTGTCAAACTTATCATTAGTTTTAGACACAGAGAATAAAGCATGACATTGGAGTGAACCATAGACTGTATTATATCACTAGAAATTATATGGTCCTCATCTTATCTGAATCAATAAAAAATCCTATTTAGTCTCCAAAAACTTTCAGACAGTCATAATATATCTTATTCCCAAATATTTAATTTCTGTTCTTTTGCTGTACACTTCTATTGTCAATGTCTAATATCAGGGAAAGTGCAGTGAATTACTTCTGAATAGGTAAGAAATATATTTTCTTCACATAAAAAAAAAATCCAAACTATTTCTGCTTCTTTTGTTGAAGACAATTTTTAAAAATACCAGAAAATATTCTATGTTGTTATTCTAAGCAATATATGAACCATTCCTAGTGAATGCTATGAAAAGGAAATGATACCGACATTTATAGAAAATGTGAAGGCTGCCAACCAACATTTTGTGTATATCTCAAATTATTTATCCCGCTGCAATCTTTTCTGACAACAAGGTAATTGCTTCAATAATACAAAACTAGAAAATTGCTTTTGCTACGCAGATCTTAGTAGAACATAAAATAGAAAGCAGGATGTAACTGTTGAACAGAAAATCATATTATGAGCAATGTATTTCTTCAAAGCACTTCAAAATACTTTAAGTATTGAATTCAAAATATCATTTCACTTATTTCTGGAGATTTTTTTTCATTCGTTGTTACCTGAAAAGTTCCATACATATTTTATACTTATTACTAATATTCGTTGTTCCAAACACCATTTTGCATCACATCAGAATTTCTTCTTTTCTTTAGAAGTAAATAAAAAAAGGAGATCAAAAAAGAGCCACAAACATTAAAACTCTGACATCAAAAAGGATAAAAATTTGTGCAAGCCATGTCAGCAAAAAAGTGTAGGGTAGCAATGCCAGAAAAATGCCTGCATGTGATCAGAGAAAGCAGGGTAGCTAATGAGTCAAGACTGATATTAGGTATCATACATATTAGGTAGTTTGATCACTGAGAAAATTATATAATTTTAAATCAGGCTGTTCTGTAATGAAACTCCTTTTCTGTAACCCTGTTAAATGAATCTCAAAAAAAAATTTTTTTAGAAAGCTCTTTGATGTGTCTCCCTATAACACAAAAGCCAAGACCTCTACCTGCCCTTCAGGAGCAGATCAACTCATTAGAAATGTAATGAGGAACATTAGACCAAGAAAGAAATCGCAGGCTCTGCAAATGCAGGGCAATATGAATTCACATTTTTGCTGAGCAAGTGAACTACACCAGAAAGGTGAAGAAATGCTGCTACTGTGTGCTTCACAGTCTGGGTTCAAGCCTTGTCTCCACAGCTTCCAGTAAGCAAATTTGCAGTAATATTTAGGTAACAAAGCAAAAGATTCAAAAGACTTCCTTAAGGAAGTCTCAACTTCATATGTGACAATTTTTGGACACTCATCACTCCCAGTAAACTAATGGGTAGTACGCTCAATAGCTTGTTGTGGCAAATCTCTAGGGGCATTTACCCAACTTCCCAACCACTGAAAGAAGTTAGACCTCTATAAAGTGTTCAGTAATGTGAAACACTGTTGAGCAGATACAGTATATAAAGCATCCTGCAGAACTACACCTCCAGTGACCACCCTGGCCATGTGCGAGCAGCACCAAAGGACACCCACCCTGTCTGGAGGGTAGGAAGGGTCCTCTGCTCCAGATACTCAGGAGGTCAGGACCACAGAGTGTCCCATGAATATCATGGAGATAGAAATATGGACAGAGGGCCAATGGTAACAGTGCAGGTAATCAGGGTGACAAATTCTAGGTCTTGGTGCCTTTATAAAAATGTGCATCCCAGGCCTAAATCAGTAAACGCCTCACAGCAGAGAGAAGGTAGCACATCCCAAACACTGGTGCCTGTGACTTCAAGGACATAATAACATAGTTCTAAAAAAATTTATTTTATATAGGATTTTACTACAGCCCTGGGTATCACTTCTTACTCAGTATCACCCCAGGGCAGGACTGACTGAGCACCCCAGCAAGGTATTGTTCATCCTGAGCTGATGGAATGGCACCAAAAAGCCACAAATAGAATGAATGCACCATTTACTGCTGAAGTTAGGGCTATGAAAGTGGTGTGTGGAGGTGGGGGACTCATAGACAAATACTAAAGTTTTTTTAAAAAATCACAGGCAAGATTCTTTCACAGTTTGCTGCACCTATCATCACTGATGAGATATTGATGTAGCATGACACAAATAAAGAAATACAACAATAATAATCCCTTCATCCTGTTCAGTTTTTCATGTTCCCCTTAAGTGTCATACCTTCTTGTGAGTATTAAGGTAGAATAAAGGAAGTAAATGACAGTTTCAGATGGAGTGTTTTTGATAAATACAAGCTGTTATAGTGGAGGTTTATTGTTTCGATTTTTCTTAATACAGAACCTACTGCTGCTCCCATCGATGTCAAAGCTACGAGTTTGTCTGTATCAGAGATTCTTGTTGCGTGGAAACATATTAAAGAAAGTCTAGGAAGACCACAGGGATTTGAGGTATGAACACAGAATATCATAATGAGAAGTCTTGTTGCTTTTGCTAGCATTGCATTCTGTTAACATGTGCAGCAGTGAAACTTCAATAGAAATTATGCTCATTTTAGCATACATATGACTAGCTGTAGAACAACGGTCACAGTTGTAGCACCAGAACATCTTTTATTTATTTGTGCTTGGAAACTATTTGGCACCAGTTCTTATAACACCTCTTTGTCACTTCAAAAAGAGTTGAAAGAACTGCAAGTGACCCAGCATATGTTATTCACAGGCTGGGAAAAATTAGGTATTGACTGTTTCCAGTTCTAAGCGACCAGTTCAAACTTTTTATTTACTGACAGCAATCAACACAGGGAAAGGAGAGAGCCTCTGTGTCCATGTGTTCTCATCCCACAGTGGCCAAGGGACATCTGGGCAGACTACAGCAATGGGATGTCAGAGGGGGAAGCAGTGGTTTCACCTTCCATAAATAAAAGTTCTGCTGAGAGACAGCCCTTCATGACTTGGGAAAGTGAACAAGCCCTAACAATGGACCTTCTCCCACTTTTAGACAATTTACAGTCCAAACCTCCAGGAACAGATCAGATCTACTAGTAAACTTGTCTGTCCTTTGGGGCCACCATGACCCATCTTGACTTTGTGGATCAGTCTATGCCAATCCTCATGAAATAATCCAGCTAAATCTCATGTATTTATTTTAGGATGCAGGTTATTTGACCTGCTTTAGGCCTTTAGAGATCATTGACTCATTCCTGATTCTCTACAGTAATACTGAAAAGGGTGTAAATATGTAGGTCTGAGGCAGACACTAATCATATGGGTGTCTTAAAACATCTTGTGACCTACTAGCACAGAGCATATACATGGCAACATGGTTGGATAAACTCAGAGACTGTTGACTGTCTCTGATGGCCTTAGGAATGAAATGTAGCTGTCCAGGCAGCACCAGAGCCAACACATTCTCCAGCTCAGCCTCAGGCTGGGCACCAGGACAGCACATTTACCCCATAGCTTAGGCACAACCATTTAACATTGTTTACCTTTTGGTGTGGCCCTTTGATATACTGGATAGCAATATCCATATTACTATCCAGTGCAGTCTGAACAGGCTGTTACTTTGCCATGTCACCTCATGTCTTGTATTGCTCAGGTGTCTTTTCCATCTACGTCTGCAAGCTGAACTCTGCTGACCCTCTCTTGGTTCTCATTCATTGTTCTTTATTCCCACTCCTTCATTACATTAAACATATTTTTACCCCTTTGCACATGGCTTGCTTCATGCAGTGAAATTTGACCATTTTGTCTTTAGACCTGCTATCTATAAGGAGAAAAAGACTGTATCTGATAAAGATTATATTCACCTTGCAAGTGCTATCCCTCTCTGTGTAACAAGTGTTCCACCTGCTACTAACCCAACTTAAATCTCAAGGACAGTCTGAAATAACCTAATTGCTGCATCCTGTCTTTTTTCTCTTCAGAAAGGGTTTTTTCTGCTACACTTTCTCAGCTATCTTAACTTTTTTTTAATTATACATACTGTCTTCACTCTTATTCTACCAACCACTGATCCTCAAAATGTTCTATTATCTTTGCTTTACATATTTTAAAATAAAAAAAAACAGATTTTCTTTCTAAAATTGAAAATTATTTCCCTAGAAGCTTATTCTTTCATAACTTGAATGTATTTTGCATTTACCTGCTTGTCACATAACACTTCCTTTAGCTCTCCAGATGTGTCCTAGCAATAGATGGCTATTACATGTGGGCTCTCTTTATGCATCAGAGGTGGTCTTCCTCACTTGGAAAATGTTCAGACCTTTGTAATTTAGCATGTTCTGACCCAAAAAGTAACACTTGGTTGCTCTAAGTCTCTCATGGATATCTCAGGTATGAATTTAAAAATGGTTATTGATACAGCAGAAGTTAACAGTGAACCTTATTAATACTTTGGCTCCTCACTGTGCTGTACACCAATTTTAGGATTCTAACATGAAGATTACAAGCAAATATTTTAAGCCAGGGATCTACAGTTGACATAACAAAAAAATGAAATATAAAAATATTTTTGGTACTCCCTTCCTCTCTCCACTAAGGAATTAAAGGAGCCTTCTAAGTAATAATGTCTTTTAAGGTACTACATTTATCTGGGGGGAGGAGGGTGCTTTTTTGTCTCCATCTCACCTGTCCCCTACCTTGCCTTTTTCTTTTCTGTTCATTTAGTTAGAATTTCTCTGCTCACTTTCTGGCAGACAAATGTTTCAGGGAGTAGTTTGCTCTTTTTTTGTCTTCTTTCCCAGGAATAATTATAATCAGAGCAGTACTTTCTTAATAAACAGAAAAGTAAATGTTGTTCTCCTGCATAATTCAACAGGACAGAATACAATCTGCGGATGGCATTGCTAAATCTTTTCAGCTCCATTTTTGGGAAGAAATTCATCAATAAGACATAATGACTTATAGGATCAATGCAGTGAGTCAGTGCATTACAGTATTCACTTCAGAACACTAAGTCCACACTATCAGCCCAGTTTTGCTAACATACCAAAAATTTCTCTTTCAAGCATCCTCTCAGTGCAAAAAGGAAAGGAGTCTGTATAGCAAGACATTCCACTCCCAAGAAAACCCAAAAGTGTGGAACAGCTTCATGTTTTCCATACGATTTGCTTTCTTAGGCTTCTGTGAAAACTTTTTTAATTTCAGAACTGATTCTGAAGGTTCATCATATGTACAATGCACTGCAAAACAAAACCCGTAGTACTCCCTCAATCCACAAACAACAAATAGATAAACTACAGAACTCCAGTAGTGTTAATAAAAGGATGAATGAGTTATCCTTTTTCTAAAAAACAATTATTTCCTAATGTAAAATGATTGTGGACTGCTAGTAAAATGCTGCCTTCATTTCAAATTGAATGCAAAACAATCTGACTAGCCCCACTATTTTCATGACGCAATTCATATTCTACCTGTGGTCACAACAGCAGTGACAATATTTCATCACATTTCTGGCCTTTTAACAACAGCATTATAAAAGGGGCAGCTATTTTCTTAACAGTTGAATGTTTGGGTTCTAATCGACAAAAGTGACAGAATATTTACTACATACAGACAAGTTTTCAGTGACCCACTTTCACTCTGCCCTGTTTACACTTCCTAAGTGCACTAAGGAGTAATGAAAGGCAAAGTAACTTGTCCAATAATCACATTGTCATCCTTGAAAGGCAGTGTTAACTGTTATGTCGCATGAGTTTTATGCAAGGTTTGCTGTACTCATTTGCATCTTCCAAAGCACATATTATTCCTGACTTCAGTACAGGTTTGTCAGCTCTCCACCCAACCTTACTAAATATATGTCAGCTACAGCCTGATAAAGTAGAAGTTGCTTGAAAATTTCATCAGAATTGTAGAAAAATATAGTGTGTTGTTCATACTTATTGTTTGGAATCCTTAAACTGAAGGTTATAAAATCTATTTGAGCCCTAGGCAGTTTTCTTTGTCACACACTACTGGTAAGGAAGGAAAACAAAAAGAATTACTGGCTGGAAGAGATATTTTTGTTTTCTTTTTCCTTTTCCAGAAAGACAAGGCTAATATTTAAGTACAGATCACAAAGCTTGTGTCTTTTTCATTGGGATTCCCCAAAGAGGTAGGAGTTTGACGAATGCAATCCAAAGACCAACTTGGAAAAAAACCCAAAAAGGATAAAAAATAAAAAATCTCGAGTGCCATTTTCAGAGAGGATTACTTGATGTAATAACTTGATTTTACCCTATTATGTCCTTTGAAAGAGAAATACTCGATATTTTACTGTTTCTTATGTGTATTTTACCTATTTTTACAATGGACCAGAAAATTACCATGTACATGGTACTGGAATTTTATTTTTTTTAATTTAGTGAAGTAATTTAGAAAGAGCATATGAATGTTTTAACCACAGTCTGGTAAAGCAAGACAGAAAAAAAAAGAGTAATTCATGGTTCACTAACCTGAATGCCAATTTACTAGACTTCATGTTTGAAATTAATTTTTCCACACACAAAATTAGTGATTCAATGGTTTTATATATGAGTTAATTTTGCCTGCAAAGTCACTCCTATTCTGATTTGAACACCTCCAAAGACCTGAAGACTAGAACCAGGAGTTTATAGCAGAACATACTACTGCTTCTCATGCCCTTGAAGTATGGATCACACCCTAGATGCCTCATGAGGGCCCCAAGAGAGCAATACCTTTTCCAATGTCCGTGTCTTGAATTTTTTGTTATGATTATCAATGACTCATGAACTATTTGGGGGTTCTAATACCTAAAATCAGAAACACAGATAATTATTCATTTTTCATTAGAAAATATAACTAGATATTTGATGATAGTACTCAAAGTTGAGGTACAATATCAGTTTTCATCCAGTGGGTCTGCAGGACCATGTGGAAGAAGAGAGTACCTAAGGAAAGAGGTGGAAGATGTAAACTGCTCCAGAATGTACTGTACTGAACAGTGTTTTGTTTCTTCTTTTCAGTCAGCAGTTGTTCTGATGAAAATGAAGGAACTGAGGCTGACTGACCTTTTTGCAGGAACCTCTCATCCAGTTCTGAAGCACAGTCACACCAATGCCTTGAAATGATACAAAAAGCACCTCTTCTCCTGTCCTAAGTGCTCACTTATACCATTGCATCAACATTTACGTGGCTTCCATCTGCCAGTTCAAGTAACATACAGGTTTTCTGATAATGCTAATTAAAATACTTCTTATAAAATCTGAATCACTGTATGAACCATTTTTTCAGGGCTAGCAGCAGTTCTTTCAGTTCATGGCTCTTTCTCCCCTAGCACTTTCTGTACTCTAAGATCTCTTCAAGTCCATTTTCAATTACATCAGTGCTGTTGATGTTGGTAAATGCTCAGAAAGCCCAGGAAAGTTTGGCACTTTGTCCACTTTGATTCATTCTACCTAATTTAGGCTCTTGATATGCCTAATTTCCAGCTTAGATTTTCTGTGGTCGACAGAAAGAATATCCGGACAATAAATTTAGCAAAAAGGACACGCAATTAGATCAGATTAATTTATAGCAAAGAATGCACACCCTAAAAACCAACTTGGAAAAAACAGTAATATTATTTAAGATACCTTTTAACCTAAAACTTCAAGGAAGTGGTCTGTAACTATCAGAGGTAGAAATATTTTAGAGAGAAATAAACTTTAACATGAAGATTTTCTTCTAACCGTCGCTTAACTGACAATCAGGGTAAAGGAGTTTGCATGTTCTTTTACCTCCTCTATTCAGTTATTTGCTTTCTCCCTAGCTCAAAGAGATGGATTCCTGAGAAACAGATATCAAAGCTTGCTATTATTTGGCTAAAAAACAGACAGTAGAAATTCCAGCAATAATGTAAAACCTTACAAACAAGAACACATTAATCAGACCAAATGCTTTCTTTCCTCGTTTTTTCCTTCATTTTTCAAATATGGGCTACTCTTTTGTGATTTATGCTTCACACTATTATCCATATTCAAAATTATTATTAAGGAAACCCTGCTCTGTTTTATAAATCCCTTCTGAGAAGTATAAATTAAGGTTACAAAAACTAACAAGATTTAAAAAATAACAAACACATGGACGTGTAAATAAACAAACAAATCTTTTGTTCTAAGATAAATGTCCAGCACTTTTAAACATCAGCAGTACCTTCATTTTAGTTCAAATCAGTAAATTCCTGCACCATCTACCCTAGTCAGCAATCATTGGAATTCTCTTTTTTTTTTATAACCAGTTTTTCTTTCAGTTCTTTTGGTCATCAACAAATGAATGTATATGTTATCAAAAAAGAAAATGAAATTTTGATATCAAAGTCCATAGTCACCTGGCAATACTTTAAGGGAAATTTTAAAATCAGGGAACAAACACTTTAAGGGCTTTGAAGTACAGAGGAAACTGACACAGAAGCATTACCTAATCGCATTTCATGTTTTTGGTTCTTAATTCGGTATATTCATTCCCTCAAGAATACCCCTTTGCCAAGGGAGGACACCTTTGCCATGTGATGCTGCGGAACTGACAGAGATCATCATGATTATTTTTGCAGACTTAACAGGTACAAAATACAATTAGTATCCAAACTGATAATGCCACATAAGCAGTGATGCAGAGCAATTCCAAACCCATGGAAAATATCAAATGGGACAAGCTGTGCTCCTGTCTTTCTTGCACCAGATTACTATATCTATGTAGTCCTCGCACCGGTGTTTTGAAAATCAGGTTTTCACAACTTCTTTATACTAAAAAAAGAATTTTCAGTGCAAAAGCTGGGGGTTATTTACTGTCTTGAACACTGCATTAACATGAGACACAGTGTGTCCTGTGAATAAACACTGAGACCTCTTCAGCTATTCATAATTTTGCTCCCATCTGTCTAGAACAAGGATTTCACTACTTCAGTTGCATTTCCACACCTGCTACTGTCCACCTATGCAACCTTGATCACTTTTCCTTTCTGATGATTTTCATGTTGGATCCTCAGTAGATTACACTATCTGGTTAATAGCATCTTCCAGGACATGTAGTCTCTCTCACTATCTGTTCATAGAGTCCTTAATACTGTGGAATTCTCATCACTGCAGTGTCAAGTTTGGAAAGAGGCATCACAAAGGAAATTAAAGGAATCTGATTGCCCAAGAGATAATAAGCATTGGAGGTTCAATACTAGTGTATGAATAAATGGTTGTTGATTCTTTTCTTCTTTTCACAAAAGGTGTGACAAGGTGTTATTTCAGGTATCAATAGGTTTGGTCAAACATTCAGATAGAAAAATACCTAAGTGAATCACACTTATTTCAACAACAAGTGGTGACTGCAACTAGTATTGAAGACTGAGATGTAATTAATCTAAGAATTGAAGCAAGTGTTTTAATATGAGATAATGCAGGTGCACACACACATACACACACATAAAAAGACATTTACTTCAAGTTTTACAATCAAAAGAATGGACTTTGAGTTGGCCCTCAATCAGAGTTAACAGAGCCACTTTACTCAAGTGAAGATAGGACCTCAAAAGTACATCTTTTGAACGAGATATTTTTAGATTTTTTTTTATGGCACTCCTAGTGCAATTCTAAAAGGTCAGCACTGTACTCATTGGCCTTATTTTCTTGTGAGCCCCTTGTTTTCTTCAGTTCACCATTTTCTGGGATACATTCACAAAAGTACTGTATTGTCTGTGACCTTTTTCTCAGAGGAAAAATTATCCAGGTATAATATGAATAACCTACTAAGAAATAACTAACGTCACATAAAAGGTCAAGTGCGAGTAGGTCTCAGTATAAATAATAGTAAGCTGAATATAGATCTTTGAATGGCACATTAGTAACATCTCCTGTTAGGGAAAGCAGGGTCCCATGAGAATCACCTTACTCGTGTAGCTCACCTGGATACATTATAAAGAAACAGTATTGCTTTTCTCGTTATTCCCTGCAAATACTTCGTCCCCGAGGAAAGAGGCTATTAAAATTCCCAGCTCTGCATTATAACCTCTTTGAGATTATGATAAACTTAGTGCAGATACCAGAAATAAGAATTAAGAACCACCACAGATCATTTAGGGAATTTATATCTGAAAAGGAAGGCCATCAACATAATATCAGAATTTCATTTACCAGGAACCTGTTTATAACCAAGAACAAAAACTGAATCCATTTCCTTCTTTTTCTTCAGATAAGACTTTTCTGATGATGGAAAGAGTTCCTTTGTTGTTTTGTCACTGCCTATTCATTGCACTGATAAGAAATCTTGTGGCTGAGCTGCACTGGGCCAGGAAGGGCATGTTGCTCACAACACTTCTTAACTGATGTGGCCAGAGTTTTCCAGAGTAAAAGTAGATATTCTGGTGACCTACCAGAGGATGAGCTTTCCTTGAATGTTCTCCTTCAGTGATGAACTCTCCCTGCCAAAGTAACCCTCTGCTCTTCTGTCTTGTAGTAGCATTTTCTCATACCAGTACACAGCAATTCAATATGCTTCAGGTCATAACATGATATTCCAAGTCTTGCCATTTTGGAAAAGTGAGCACTGCATGGCTTGAGGTTAAGCAGCAAATCTCATATGCTTTAAAGGGCCTGATGATCAGAAAAAGGTATAAATGGCTAAAAGGCCCACCACAGGATAACAAGTACAAACACCTGGAAGCATGAGCTTGCTAGGTTCCTATATTAAACTTTCATTTGGTCGCTTGTTGGTAGGTTGGATACTGGAAGGACATGGAGAAGGAAGAAGCAGCAGAAAAGGTCAAAACGGAGGGAAATGAGTCATCCATCCTCCTGACAGGATTAGAAGGAAACACATTATATCACCTAACAGTGAGGGCGTACAACGCTGCAGGGTATGGACCACCTAGCACTGCTGTGCATGCAGCAACCAAGAAGTCCCGTAAGTAATCTCAGTATCTTTGCTACAGGGGAGAAGTCAGAGAGCAACCTCTACCCTCTTGTGTTTTCATTTAATATGAGTGTATAATAATCAGGAATCATGTATAGCTTTGATTCATGGCCTTGCTTTGATATTTAGACATGAATTGATATGACTTTACATTCATAACAAGGGTTATTTTCCTAGGGAAAAAAAGGGGATTTTTTACAAAGAAGGGAGAGAAAAGAGTTCAGGTTCATAGGCTTTGTGAAATTGATGGGATGGGATGGGATGGGATGGGATGGGATGGGATGGGATGGGATAGGATGGAATGGGATGGGATGGGATGAATAAATACATAATAATCTACTAAATTACAATACTGGTGAAAAAAAACCTTAGAATTTGATCCAGAGTTGTGGAAACCTGTTAACACGACTGATTTTAAATGTAATGAAAGATTGAAATATTTTTCTTTTGATTTCAAGGAAACTACCTATATATAAAAATATATTTATGTATATGTTATTTTTTTCTTCTCAGCTCCCAGCCAAGCACCAGGCAATATTATGTGGATACAGGATGGTTCACATGTGTCTCTTGGGTGGGAACCAGTCAGACCTCTAGCTAATGAATCTGATGTAATGGGATACAAGGTCAGTGCTTCCCTGTCCTTACTCGCCTTTCTCTCTTCCAAACAACTACTTCTTTACTGGCTTTTTTCCCTTTCTTGTTTCTCTGTCTAAGTAAAGCATTCTGCACAGACTGTCTCCAATCAGTTTTCACCATGAAAAACAATAAATAAAATTAAAATGAGAGAAATACCCCAACATATTTTTGTGTTGTGATTTTCAAATACTACTTATAAACTGAGTAAGCTCTGTCTGAGGGTATCAGCTCATTATCTCTGAACCAGAAGTGGTTATTAATAGGACAAGCCTGTGATGAAATTCCTAATAACTCCTCAATTCAATTGTGTTTGCAGTAGGATTTAGAGAAATGCAGAATAATGAGGCATTATAAATTGACATTAAAAATTAATATTTTTATGGAGCAGAAACAAAAATACTTCAGTTTGCTTTATAATCATGTTGGTAATGTTCAACAACCAGTGACAGTAACAGCTGGCATTTAAAGTTTTGAAGTTTTAAAGAGTAAAATACACATTAACACTTAAATAACAAGTCATAAAACCACATAGAATTCACTGTAATATTTTAAATCAAAGCAGAATGTTTCCAATGTTTTTACAGAGGTGTGGAGGTTTGGTTTCTTTGAAGTCTGTATACGATCATTTCTAGACTAAAATCTGATATCCCCTCTGATACACCAGGAAATATCACCAAGAAAGTGTAAAATGGTTCAAATAAGCCAGAAACTGTTCTAACCTTTATCAGAATAGTTACTATTCTGAAATAGTTGAATTGACTACTCTAGTTTTTCACACCTCTCTAACCCTCTCAATTTTGTCTGGGATCATAAACTCTTATGCAGAAATACCAAAAAGACAGCTAGGTACTCACTTGCTTTTCCTTCCATAAATTTTTCCTGAATGTCACAAGAGGTTCAGGGACAGATCTCAGCTCTTCTCAGTTATCCAGCTAAGGTAAACACAGCAAGGACATTATTTGGAACATTTTCTTTACATTTGAAGTTAGGTTCTTGAGCCAAAAATATGAATATCAACATGAATTTGGGGATAAGAATTTGAATCGAATGGAACCCAAAATACATTTTGAAATTTTGGAGGTAAAATTGTGTAACACCTAATGCTGGAGAGGGCAAATGTACTATCTTTGCTCTGGATCGTAATCAATGTTCTTTCATTACTTGCTAGTATACTTTGCTATTACTGTTTTGAAGCCACTGCAGGGAGGGAAGAGTAAAAGCAGATGACTGTTCGAATGTAGTGTCACGAAACCCTCAGTGAAAGCATGAAACAGTTAACATTGCAGTGACTGTGTTATCTACACAAAATGTTTGGTATATAACTTGAATGACCACTGTGACCATTATATATTTTATTGACTACAGGTATTTTTTCGGCAAGAAGGGCAGAGCAACAGTCAAGTTATAGAAACACAGAAAACCTCCGCGGTGGTACTTCTTCCTGATGTTGGTGTCTACATCATTGAGGTCTGTGCAGTTAGTGAAGGAGGGGATGGGACTGCAAGTCCCCAGATCAGAGTTCCATCTTTTTCAGGTAAAGTTACACTATATTTGAAAGAGTAGTGATTATAACAATGTTCATTAACTCTATTATTCTCTACCTGAAAAACAATGTTGTCACAATTATTTAACTATTAGATAAAATTATTAATCTGAGTCCTCAGTTCCATGCTGAAACAAAGACATCTACTGCCATTTGAGATTCTCAAGAGCATCTGAGGCAACCATGTGAGGCCAACGAACAAAGCAGAAGATTTGCAGGAACCTCTCCCTTTCTAGGATTACATGTGAAAATCTAACTGAGCTACAGATGTTTATATGTGCACTAGGTGACTTAAATAACAATATAGTCAGCTGAGTTGTAATCCATAGAGACCAACAGTGGAGCCTTGACAGCAATTCAGCTAATCTTCTGAATTTACATATTCAGACATAAGCCCATAAGGACACCTGATATGTTTTAAGGTATCCCAAACATTTGCACATGGCAGATATAATATGGGACTTAGAGTGTACACACATCATTATGGACCACCAGCTGTAGGTGTACTGTCTAACACAGATAAAATGGTATGTATTTAGGTAAGTATACAAGTTCCCATAAGGGGAAGAGGAGGGACAGCCACTGATATCTTCTCTGTGGTACCCACTGACAGGGAAGAAGGGAATGACATGAAGTTGTGTCAGGGGAGATTTTGGATATTAAAAAATGTTCACCCAGAGGATGGTTGGGCACTGAAACAGGCTCCCCAAGGAAGTGGTCACAGCACTAAGCCTGTCAGAGTTCAAGAAGCATTTGGATGATGCTCTCAGGCATATGGTGTGCCTCTTGGAGATGGTCCTGTGCAGGGCCAGGAGTTGGACTTGATGATCCTTATGGGTCCCTTCCAACTCAGCATAATCTCTGAACACTCTGCATCTGCCTGCCTTAGAATAAGCTGAATTTCTCTGTAGATTCCAATTACTCCCTTGAATAATTATTACTTTAATAAATTATTAACTTATTACAGTATTAAAGTATTATCTTAAAGTAACTTAGGATGTCTAGATTCCATCTCTTCAGTTACTGTGATAAGTTGAAAAAATTTACAGTATCAATATTACATAGGTAAGAAAGGAATGGAAGGATTAGTGGCAAGAACAATCAGAAAATAACATTGACTTTTGCCTAAACACAACAAGGCATCTTAATTCTAACTTTCTGCTAACACTTAAAATTCTGCTAAAAATTGCTTTACACTCTTTAAGGAGTACTAACTAGAAGATGTGAGCCTGAAACTTCAATGTAGGACTAAAATTTCAGCCCTAATCTAGTCACAAACCTCAATGTTATTATCAGAATGCAGAAGACACCAATCTCTACTCCATGGAATATCTGTTTCATGTATCCCTTGAGCCAAAACTGTAGGCCACCAAGTCTTTCATTCCCTCTCTCCCGATATTTGTAATTAGACTATGCATATCACATTAGTTCCATTTAGGTCAACTGTTGTCCAAAGGAACCCAGACTGGTTCCCTTCCCATTCTGTTACCACTACCAGCCCAGAGAACAGTTCCCCTTAACATGGCCTTTAAAGGGACTGCTGTAATCTAAAATCATCACTGGACTACTGGGCAAAATACCACTTTTTCCTCTGGGCAAACATAGAGATCAAGGGTCAGCTTTAATCCTTTTTTCCGGGAAGAAGATTTGTGACTATGGCTGGAACTCAGAGTAGCTTCTGCAGCCTAATTCTTTTTTGAGGTTTAAGGCACAAAACCACATACCCCTTTGGAATTTGCTATTCATTTGCAGACTGAATATGAGGCTCCAGCATGTGAGTTGCTGTAGGTATCCTCATAAAATCCCATCTGTGTAGGAAGCCTATTTTGTGACTGCAGTTGTCAGAAGCTAATCCATTGCCTAAAGGTTAGGCTTCTACTGAGGGTAATAGAATACAAGTTTTGGGCAAAATATAGTACCTAAATGTACTGACCATTTGCATCATTTGTTTCTTAATTACTTTGCTTTTCATTTCAGGAGGGAAAGTAACAAGCGCTCAATCCACCTTACATATGTTGTCTACTTCCTCGTCCTCTGTAACATTGCTTTTGGCACTGATGGTACCTTCAACATCATGGTGAAGGTTTCAGACTTTGTTGTTATTTCTTTGCTTTAATTTAATGACACCATAGGGTGGAGTTTTATGTCTGTGGAGAAACTGGAAACATGAGCTAATGCTTAAAGAACCATAGAAATGCCTGTGGTGCACTTAGAGGAGTGTTGGAGACACGGTCAATAATTCATCAGGTTTTTATCTCTTCTTTATTTGTAAAAGTCCTCTGGGGGAGGAGACACTTCTTGGCCCAAAAATATGCAGATTGTATGTAATAAACTTTTGTAAGCAAAGATAATTTCTGTCAAATGTATTTTCCTTTTTTAATATGTTCGATTTTGGTGAGCCCAGTCATGTGTCATCAGGTATTTAAAAAGTGGTATCTAGTACAGTACATCTGTTTGGTTTGGAAAAAAAATCCTTTGATGCAGCTTTGTCGAATACTTTGCTCACATCCCCAATAACTGGTTGTTTCTACCAACAACCGAAAAAAATATAATTTATCTACACAGCCCACTGCAAAAGTAAAGAGGATTTGTTCTGAAAATGTATGATATGTATTTAATTAGCAAAAAGAGCTGCCAATAAAGTATTGGACAGGATACTCAGAACATGGCAAAATGGAGCAGAAAATCCATTTATTTTATTGCAAGGTAAATGAAAAATTATTAAATACAAACTTAAGAGGAAAAACGTTTTTATTCATCAAATACTGCAAGATATTACGTCCAATGATCAGATATAGATTTTCAAAAGTAAATAAGAAACCAATTCCTACTGCATATCACAAGGAAAAACTGCACTGGGCATTTAAATATGACATACACTGAGATCATAGGTAGACAAATAAAGCAACGCAAGGAGATAAACCTACTTTTTTCCAACCACTTCTCAGCTTTTTTTTCCTCAACTTTCTTTTTCCTCTGAGTCCATTTTTTAGTAACACTCTGTGCTCTATATAGATAGTAATCAAGTTGAAGTATATATGAAAGCATATTATGGAGAGAATATTAACATTTTTCAGAATTTAATCATTCACATATATTCAAACTGCAGTAAGATATATTTTGGAGGATTTAATGTCTGAGAAAAAATACTTGGAGAAGTACTACAGAGCATCATTCCAGGTATTTAACTAATTGGCTCTATTTCTATAGTTTACTGGAGATTATTCTTGTAGGGACTGTGTGCTATCAGTTTTAATCCCCAGTTTTTGCTATACCAAACAATTTTTCATTTAACAGACAATATGGACAATTTTTCTGCATTGAAAGGCCTTTCCATGTATTGGCACCTGAAGCAAAATAATTCCCAGAGTAGATGATGTGCAATTACTGTGTACACAATTACTGTGTGCACAGTGCTGTGACAAAGGGTGTTTTACTAACAGATCTAGGGATCAAGCCTAGGATAAACATTCCCTCACCTGGGAAAAATCAGGTCAAAAATGTTTAACATGAAAGTCCTAACAGCACAGTTCTTCTAGCTGTCCATCCCTCTAAAAGGTTTTGATGAAAATCTATTTTAATTGATGAGTTCTGCAATCAAAATGCTATTATTTTGCCTGTTCACTAGCAAAATAATTTTTGGCATTTAGCTAAATGTGCTCTTTCTCAGCAGCTTTAAAATAGTAGACAAGAAAGCACAACACAGATCAAGTGCTTAGTAGGCAAAAAGCTGACTGGTGACTAAATATTTTTTCTTTTTAATATTTTATCAGTAAAATTTTTCAGAGAAAGTTCAACTCAAATCTTTCTTATCCACTAATATTTTAAATAATTTTTTTAAGAAATAGCATTTAAATTTACTTAGTCACCATGTTACTAGGGAAACAAAGGCAGGATAGCTAGCTAAGCACAGGCTGTAGGTAAACAGAAAGAGACCTTCTATATCTCTGCCTTCTGGAAAATCCTTTGAGATCAAAGAAAGGAAGATGTAATGTACCTTGCTGATAGAGCAAACTCACAGAAAATAACTACCTGCTGTCATTTGTAAAACAGCAGCACTGTTACTATGCAGAGAACCTGCATTAGCAATCTACCATCTTTCAAAAGGTTAAAATAAACAAGAATAAAGTGACGAACCAAAAAGCAAAATGGCTATTTTATAAATTAAGCATAATTTCCTCTATTTTTTTATACAGTTGCTTGCCAATGCAGTTTATTTCAGAGTATTCAAAAAGGCTACACTCACTGCGGTGGCATTTTCTGAATGGCAGTTAAAATTTCTGAATGCGATAAATGGATACGCTTTATAAGAAGAATAAAATCTGATAAGGAGATAGAACTCCATCTAGATACATCTCGATCTCTAGTATGAAGATAAAGATAGAAGTACTGAACATACCATCAGGTAATGTAGTTGTATTGCAGGGACAAAAAGGGGTATGTTTTATATTCAACATGAACAAAATATGTATTTTGCATCTTAAATATATTAATAAACATGTTTTAAATGTTTAAGTACCTATGTATTACCTATTTGTTACTTTGTAGAAGATGTTTCCTTATCATAACATTTTTTAGTTGCAAGGGAAAGACTTTTCTTTTTTCATGTAGAAGATTGTAATAGTGCAGTCTGGCGTCACTGAGGAGACTGTATTTTTGTATAAGGCCACAATATCTGTTCAGAAAAAAAAATAATTAGAAAGAAACTTTGTTTCGCAGACCAAAAGAAAGATACTGTCATGGTCCATATCAAAATGTTAGATATATTGTACAATCTGTATATATGCTATATATAATGGTATATACAATGTGGAAGACACAGTAATATAATAGTTTCTGTGTACTGTTCTTGTAACATTAGATCTTTTTAATAAATTATTCTCTTTTTATTGGTTTTTATCTTATCTCCTGTCAGGTCCTCAGTTATGTTCATAAAGTACAGGGTGACACAAATATTTTGGTTTTCAGCACCAAGAAACCTTTAGTTACATGACTTTCAAGAAGAAAATGATGAATCTGCAACAGTGAAAGTGGAAAATGCAACTCTTAAAATCAAGTAATTTTTGTCATCACTCCAATTTCACCTACGTGTTGGTTTCCCTGGGTAGGTATCTCTTTCATAACTAAATAACTGAAAGGTTCAAGAATTCTCTACATGAAATTATACTTAACAAAAACTGCAATGTAATCTGCAATTTAACATCAGAGATAAAATAAAAATAATCATGAACAGAAGAGAGATCTAGGGTGGCAAGGCACTGCCCAGAGAAGCTGTGGATGCCCCATCCCTGGAAGTGTTCAAGGCCAGGTTGGATGGGTCTTTGAGCAATCTAGCCTTGTGGAGGGTGCCCCTGCACATGGACAGGGGTTTGGAACTAGGTGATCTCTCTTGTCCCTTCCAACCCAAACCATTCTATGATTTCTATGAAAAGTGCTTTATAAGGAAGTCACCAAGGTCAATCTTCTGTATAGTGAAGTACTACATAGCTTCTGGTACATCTATGTCTTATATTTGAAATACTTTGTGTGAAAAACCACAAAAGAATAGTTTTCAAAAACACACATAGCCTTTTGAGGAAAAAATGTGATAATGAATGACCGAATTGTAGCAAGTACTTTTTTTTTTTTTTTTATGGTTCTATTTGAGCTTTTAATAATCCCCGATCAATTCTTTATGAAATGCATATTTTCAATGGTAGATGACTTTGGAACACAGTATGAAGTCAAAAAGACCATACTGGAAATAAAAATACATTGCCACAGTCATTTGAACCGAGACTTCAATTACAAAATGGGTACTGCTTAAATAGTATATTATATCAGGACTTCCATTAAATTAGTTATCAATGTCACAGAAAACTGTAATGGTCTGCTTTTGCTGACATGGAGAACTGTACATATTGAAAATCCATATCCTATCAGAACTTCAACGACACGGCAACCCATTCTTGCCCTTTTATGGACATCATCCCAGTTCCTCTGAAAATGAAAGACAATTTCCTTCTTAATTACTTCCTATGCTTTTGACCAAAACAATGTCAAGGATAAGAGGAAATGTACTGCATTTTATTACAATAGGTTTGTTGCCTTTAGGCTATTACAAACAGCCTCCCTAAGCATGTTGGCACATAGGTTACTTCCAAAAATACAGATCCTGAGTTTTTTCTATGACTTTTCTCTCAATTCCAGTAAAGACAGACCTGACTTTACCTTTATTGGAGTTCATATTTTTAATACTTTAAACAAGGTAATGATAGCGTATGTGAATAAAAGCCTGACAAGCCTAAAAGAAAAATCTATGCATAATTGTACAGTTTCAATATTTGCATTACTTATTACAGGGGTCAGCTCTTTAAGCAAACAGGTACAAATATTTAGATGCACAGCTATTCCTGCTCCCTGTGCTCCTTTTCTGCTATCAGATTATTAACTAAACACCCCAGCTTGTATAAGAAATCTACCCAGTCATCAGAAGAAACTGATAAAGAAATCTGAAATGCTTCTTCATTCATCTTTTACTGTGATGAAACAGATGTGTCGAGCTAAAGAAAAATACACTCCCTCTGGATATGGTTTGGTGGTGGGGTTTTTCACTTTTTTGCTCAAAATCATCAACTTAAAAAAAACTATTGAATAAAAACATGAGAGTCTTCCTGAAAAATGGAATTATCAAGACGAATAGCAAAGAAGGCACTATATGTGTTAATCATAAAAAAAATTATTCAGCATATTTCACTTTTCGTACAGAAAATAAGATCAGAAAATGCATAAATTTGCTTTTCATAACAGAAAACATGTAAATAAAAAGATATTGAAAGTAATTGAGGCATATCTGCATCAAAGCTTTGGTAAGTACAATTTTACTTTAAGCTACATTGCTCTGCTCCCTGGTTGAACAAGCATTTCCATTTCATAATGGCACCATCTTGTATCTTCTACAAAAGAGACTTTTTAAGACAGGATAGTAAAACAGGGTAGTCCTCCTGATATTTCTCTAAAATTTTACCATGTGGAGCAACAGGTTGACTTAGTAAAGAAGTCTGAGTTGAATTGCTTAGTTTTGTATAACTCATTCCCTTATTATTGAGGGATATATACACCCAAATCAATCCATTTGGAGAGAGTCATTCTAGGTGATGATGTTGCATATGTATGTTTGTTCTAATTAAGAAGTTTCACATGTGGTTTAGGTGAAAAAACTGAATGTCTACCCTGTTGTGATCACTGTATTGTGTATGTATGGCCAGTCTTCGCGAACAAATATTTGGGAAAGGTCTTTACCCTTCGAGCCTGGGCAGTGAATTTTTTAGGTGAGACACAGTGTGCGCTGAGCTGAGCCCACCCTTTAATCCTAAGGTTCATCTGCCAGGGCCGAGCAAGTTTAGACAGTGGCAGTGAGGTCCTCAGGATGTAGGTTTGTTTAGAGTGACCTTCTCTTAGATGGATGGCCTCACAGGGCTGAGGAGCTCCATCCGCCCAGGGGAGTTTCCCTGACCAGGAATCGAACCTGGGCTGCAGCAGTGAGAGTGCTGCATCCTAACCACTAGACCACCAGGGGTCCCCTGATCACTGTATTGTAGTACATGGGCAGCCACATGATCAGTAGAAGTAACATGCAAGCTGGTATTAGTTCTTTTCTAACATGGAGAAGACTCAGAAGAAAATTGTTGATGTTTTCTGGTTATACTTCATTTATTTCAAGTCCCATTAGTAAAACCAAATTACCCACAGTACAGTGAATGTCTCTTTTGCTCCTGTTGCATGAAAGAAAAAGAAACACTTCATAGTGCCCTACAACTTCCCAGGCAGCCCCTTCTTCCTCCCCCTTTCCTGTCTTCAAAAGGGTACCTGTGTGTACAGAGAGGGCAGGGGGAGAGGGGAGGAGACACAGAAGGAAGAGGAAATCCATGGGCACAGTATCCCACAAGGATGACCTGAAGTTAACCCTGCCTCCTGACCTAGCAGGGTTTGCCTTACAACAAGCCATCTGAGAGGGTAAGTCTTTTACCTTCCAAATACATAAATTAGGAAGCATTTTTACCCATCTGAGAACGGCTGCATTAGATTATCCAAAGCACTAAACTGGGTTCCCACTGTGTTGTTATCTGTCAACACTTTCTGACTCTCTAAAGAGAACAGTAGCTAATCCCACAACTTTTGAATGGGAAGTGAAAGGAATTTTCTCAATACAATTTTTCATAAAAAATTTTCTTGAGTGCTCATGGTACCCACAATAGGAAATACCAGTCTTTAATGCTCTTCACAAAAGCTTTGGCCTTTTAATGCGGGAGGTAAAGCTGGCAGTTTGCTGACTGAATGTATTATTGCGGCATGAGAAACTAGCTTGCAGTGGCAAAAGTTTTGTCAGATTTCTAGAGCATAAATTACTTGAATATTGCTGGATCTCTGCGAGTTTGCTTTGCAGAATGGTAGTCCTTCCTTTTTGATAATTTTTTATTAGACCCAAACATTTCGTGAAAGTTTCTGATGTACTAAGAACTACCACACTGAAAGTCCTTCAGCACAGGATATGCAGCACCTTAAACCTTGGTGTAACAGCACATTGACAAACATACTCTTCGCTCAAGACATAGCTACTTCCACAGTTCTTCCCTCCACTAAGAAAATATTTACCTTCATAAACTACAATGAGATGATGAGGCATTTCTTTTCTTAAATGGCTGCTGAACCCTTTCTTACTTCTACTCAAAGAGTACAGCTGTTAAGATACTGTATCTAAATAAGGTGTAAAAAACATGGGGGAAAAGCCCCAAAACCCAGTAGGTCTGCTTGTATAGGCCAGGAAATGAAACAAACCCAAAATGAAACTGTGTTCCATCCAGATTATGAGAGCAAGATTAAAAAAAGCCCTTTTATGCAAGACAAAACTTTGATTTTATCACAATACTGGTACTGTCTGCACTTGAGGTCTCTACAGCTCTAAAAAGTCTTAAAAGAAATAGCAAAGAGACAGACAACTGAAGTGATCAAGGGTTGTTGGCTAGAACATCTGCCACTTGGGGAGAAGTTAAAAGGACTAGGGCTCCTCAGTTTGGTGACAGGTGGGCAACAGATAAGAAGCCATCATGTCTCAACTTTTTGTCTCCTGTTGTTTCTCTCCCTTGCAATAGACAAAGCACTAAAAAGGCCTGTAAAAGAATTACTCTCAAACCTCCTCCTCTTCCTGTTTGGAAACTGTGCTTTAATTCAAATTGAAGATCGTACTTTATCTGTCCAATGAATACTGAACTATTCAGATAGAAAGCTCCAACACTGAAAAGATGCTATTTCAGAACAGTCCCTATCCGCAGGGCTAGAGCAATCAAATCTACTCCCAGTTATGATACAAGGTAGAAAGAAAAGGTGTTTGAGATCTTTGAAATCCTCAGCGGGATCTTTAAATCATTTGCAGCAAGAAAAAAAAATGCTTCTGCTTCTTTTTTACAAAGGGACACTCACAAGTATGCATGGGAAACTCCTGAACATACCCCGGATGATGAAAGCACTCCTCCCACTTAGACCTAAAATGTAGGAGCTGAAACTGGGTTTCTATAATCACAGTCTAGCATTTCCACCAGTGATTACCTTTAAGTCTTTATTGCTATTATTCTGATGATTAATGTTTAGGTTATATCCTCATTGCGGTGCTTGCATGTCATCTGTTACCTGCTAATAACTAATCAATTTAAGACTGCCAAAAAATGAACTCAAAACTCTACTAAGTATCTTCCTATCCTTGCACCATTTCTTAAGCTTAAATCTGGGAGAGTTTCAGGTAAGGCAACAAAGAAAAAGCAAATATCTCTTCCTACTCCATTATGAGTTACAACATCACATTTACTACCAGACCATGAGAGATCAGGGGAAATAAAAATGCAGCATTTTTATTTTATCTTTCATAGAA